TTCATTATTGATAAAGAAGTGAGAGAAAATAAAAGTCATGGTTTCCATATCTTCGGGAAACAATTTTCGGCTTGAATTAAGAGATTTTTTTGGAAAAGTTAATTAAAGGATAAATCATAAAAGATATTTATTCTGAAAATAAGTTTGAAGATAAATGTTTTCAAAATTTCAATTAAGAGCGGAATAGATGGAAGGATATTAATTAATTTTAGAAAATGGTATAATACTAATAACCTCCATACAAATAGCATTTAGGTAAAACCAAATCCAAAGCTTCATTCAAGCCTATTCCTTCAAAGTAACACTATCTTGATGGATACATCTAATTTTTTTCGGAAGGTGGTTAAAGTTTAAAGGTAACTTTTTTACTCTCTAAGGTGTCAAAGATATTTCTTTGCTAATTTTGTTATTGTAGTTTCTACGATCAATTGCTAATAAACTTTTCCTTTTTGAGACATTTTTGTCTTGAAGTTGGATAATGACGTAAAAGTCTATTTTTATTTTGATTTTTGCTTTGTTTACTTTAAGTAGGTTTACGTTCAAAAAATAACTAATTAAGTCTATTTTTATTTTCGTTTTGTTTATTTTGTAAAAAAAAATAGCAAAATTTCCAAAAATGAAAATGGAATTCATTTATTCACGAAAAATGGAATGTAAATTCAAAGGAATTAACTAATTATCTTTTACATGGTTCAAAATTACCTTAATAATTTCAAAAATAAGCAACATGGAACAAAAGGAAGAAAAATCTAAGCAAATTTAAATTATTATAAATTTAAAAATTATCCCTAAACCAGCTAAAAGGTAATATATGATTGTGATGCATATTTCAACTTAACAGTTAAGTAATAGTGTATATTTTTGATACATATTACAACTTAACAGCTAATAGATAAACAATAACTTAGATATACAAAATAGCTTAATGGCTAATTGGCAATGTACAGTGTGCAGAAAAATAAACGGGCCACCCTAAATAATTTTTGATCTAATAATCGGATCTTTATATTTTAATACACAATGGTTCAAGGAGGTAATCTCAAGTATGCAAATTAATCTGTGCAAGCGATATTTTAAGTTAACGAAATAAGACACTTTTGTGTCTGATTTTGTTAAACGTACTTACTCTGAAGGAAACTCTTTTTTCAGACGGATTTTTGACCTATGGACCAAAATATAGCTGCAAGCTTAGAAATATGGTCCTAATAGTTTGGTCAGGAAAGCGGCCCAAGATTTAGACCCCTTAACGGAATTTCTACTTTTTGCGTGTTTCGCCATATCTATAGAGCTTTTTCAGCGAATTGAAAAATTTTCGTACACAACTTCAAAATTCATTTATAATAATTTCAATGTTGAAATTATTTAATTCATTAAATAATTTCATGCAAAACACAAATTTCAATAATCTATATATATATTTCTCTTACACGGCACCAAAAAAAAGCCTCATTACAACTCCCCGAATGGCAACGTTAGAAAATCGACCAATGATTGCTGCTAAAAATGTCACATGGCAAATCTAAATGAGGTGGCTCAACATATAGCGCTTTTAAAAACGGAAACAATAACCAGAGTGAGCATTATCACGTTGTTCAATTCAGATTCATGCCCTAAAAACATGATAATATTT